TCGAGCCATCGAGGCTAGGTCAAAAGGGTACTATATGCAATTTTGTGTGTTCTTGTGAGAATTTGATTTCTTGACTGTTGCTTTCAGGTGTGGGTAGTTATTTTGCTGGAGTTCTGAAAGTTTAACAGCTTAATCTATGGAGCGAGAAGGTCCTGGTTGTCTTCAGAAAACTATAAGACTGGTGGTCAAAGATGAGGCTATCAAGGATTCTAGTGACCTATAAGAATGAGAAGATATCCTACTACCAGCCTGTGGACAAATGTGAAAGACAGATTAAAATTCCAGCCTATCTTTTATAGATAATGGGGAACATTTGAAAGTTATCAAGCAGGAGAAAGTAAAAATTAATTCTGTAAAAGACATAAAGTGAAGAAGACCAACTTTAGAAAGATGGAAGGGGACATACCCAGGCTAGAGAAATTTTTACCCTTGAGACTACCTTACTTGATAGTTTCAGAACATTGTTCGATGTTATTTACATTTTCCATTTTCTTCCAAGTACGTACCTTGCTGTCTGGTTTCTCAGGACAGGAAGACCATACACTTTGCTACTGGCCTCAGCTGTAATCCGCACCCCCACCCCTAAATTCTTATACCCTAATATGTTCTGAGAAGATTCTGTTATGAGGTTTTGCTTAATATAGACTTCATTCTTTTAGGCTGTGTCTACACATGCCTCTTGTAAAGCATGGAATTTTAATGGGTTTATTCAGCAGCTGCATTTTTGTGTGAGCAATTTAACTGTTCACACAAACTCGTAACCACTAATATTTGGACAATACTTTAGTGGTTGTAAGGTACTTTCACATATATTCTCACATATATACAACTCTGACAAATAAATGATGTACTTATATTGTTGTTGAGGAAAGCAAGACTTAACAGATAAGTGACTGGTCCTAGGCCATCTGACTACTATGTGAATACAACTAGACCTTAAATGGTTGATTGTTAAATTGCAGAATGAGACTTGAAGATGCTGGGATGTTTTGTTTTCTTCAGTGTTGTTGTTTTTTTGTTGTTGTTGTTGTTGTTGTTTTTAAACCAATGACAAAGCATATTTACTCAATCATTTGAGTGGCAGTGTCCTTAGAGTATGA